AACACATTTATTGCATCGAACCACCCCCCCCCCCCCCGCCCTCAGCCCCCCTTCCCCCCCTTCCCTTAGATTGTAGAGGTATAAATCCTTTACCTACAGTTGAAACTCGAGCCTACGAAGCCGAACAACTACATATGTGACAGCCCGTAAGCTATCCACTTGAAACGATAGCGATCTGAATGCGGCACTTAGAGCTACGTAATCCCTATGTCTTTCCTAGATTGCAGTCTTCGCTATTCATATGGTGTAGGATATAGTACGGTCGTATGAGCGGACCAGAACAGCAATAGCAGCTTTTACTTCGGTCTTCTGAGGCTATCGAATCCCCTCACTTGTTCATCACTTTTGTTAGCTAAGGTAAAGCGTAGAATCCTACTGACCACAGCAATAAGACAACGTAAACTGAAGCAATCGTTTCTTGACTTCCTGATAGTGCACCACGGTGAGAATTCCAGATCAGATGAACGGTGTACCCAGTGGAAAGAACGCAGCGAATACTTTGTTGAAACATGGAAATTACCGATGTTGTTCATTTAGGAAGCTATCCGAGTCCCTAACATGAATGGCTCTTCCAAATCCAGTGACAAGAACACCATATATTTGAGTAAATCAGAAGAGGGTTCTGTGAGTCTTCGATCTATTACTGGATTATGATTCAGAAGCGGCAAGTTTAACTTCCTGAGACGCCCATGCTGCTTGTCTTCATCAGCTTAGAGTTACAGTCAGGTACTAAATCACCAAACGACAAATAAACGAGTTGTTGAAATAAGAATGAAGAGTTGTTTTGCATTGAAGGAATTAGTGTCAAAAGTTTATCAACATTCTCAACGAAGAGAAACCATGGGACTTATAATCTTATTCGGCTTGGAATCAGGGACCTGAGCTAAGAGAGGCGAGCGCTGACTATATGTCAGCCATTGCCAGTGATCCAACCTCAAAAATTCCTTTCTATCCGCATTTTTAAGTTGGCGGTGTTACTGACAGCATACGAGCAGTGTTTTATATACTGTTCGTTGAGAGCACGACTCGTGTCTCCGGGCGGCACGGGGCAAATACGTGTATTTGAAGTTTAAACCTCCGCGGGATGGCGTGGCCTACCGGCCGCCCGCCGCAATGGCCAAGCTCGAAATGAACGCATAGAGAAACTCAATCAATTCCGTCCCGGCATGTGGGGGAAAAATTGCACAGAAAGGGGCGCTATACAGGCTTCTCAGGTCTTGGCGGCCGGGCTTTTCGTGACTAGAGCACCTGACATGCCGAGATGAACTGGCTGCTGACCTTTCAATCGCTATTCATAAGTTGACGGAATTTTGAGTGTTGTCGATCCTCAATGCAGCCTTCATAGTTGAGCTACTCCTTGAAAACGTCTTTGGAATGCATCGGCCGATATGGCAACGGAAATTGTCAGCTTCGGACTCTTTTGATACTTACTGTTGTTTCCTACTGGCTTCAAAATAATATGAATTAAAACTGCTTTGGAGTGGTTCGAGGGATTATAATATGAATTTAAGTTGTGGTGACGTTACCGAACCTTTCGAACTCGATACTGAAGCATTCGAAACTAATATGTACCATTCGGTATGCGCCACTTATGACATGTCCGAGAAGACACGATGTTTGGTAGATTAAGGAGATCTTCGTGTTTTCCAAGGGCTACGCATTCAAGATGCCGACGTCGCACAGATCGGTAGTACTGCGCCACCATGTATAAACGCCAAGAAGTCTGTAAACTCTAATCTGTGGGATTTGCGATGCAGAACGGATAATCTTTGTAGGAAAGCTCAGGGGTCCCGACTAAAGCTTTTCAACTCCCGGTGAAGTGGGAGGCAGCAATGTGGATGCTGTTTCTGTATATATCATGCCTCTGATCGTCTGCTTCAGAACTCCCTGCACCACATCATCCATCAGTCACTCAACATTCTCTTGACTATAGCCGTACACTCGGCAAAGATTCTGTCGTTCGTTCAAAAGTCGAATCTTACAAGCTTGCCTGAAAGACAAAGTAGGGTGTATCACGATGCATATCAATAGTCTTCTTGCTTCCTCCGCTCTGCTGGGCCTGACATCCGCTGGATATACCACAAAATACCTCACTGGGTCATCAAACAACACCATCCAGGTCCTCGTCGAGGGAGATGGCCCGTCGCTGCTTGTTTGGCCTTCTTTTGCCCGGGACAGCATCGACGATTTCCATGAGTTTTCGACCGCCCTCGCCGACGCTGGTTATCGCGTCTTGCGTCCTCAACCCCGAGGCATGGGCGAATCTACCGGCCCCATCGTTACCACTTGGGCCGAGGTAGGCGCCGACCTCGTCTCGGTCATTGATACCTTTGGCAACGGAAAGGCCGTGGTGCTCGGCCACGCCGCCGGCCAACGTATGGCAAAGAACATGGCTGCCGCCTACCCGGATAAGGTCCCTTCGATCGTCTTGGCTTGCATCAACACCGGCATCAACACCAATGCCACCATTGCAGCTACGGCCAACATTGCGAGCAACTATACGTACTCTGTAGAGGAACGTCTCGCTGCTTTGGAGCTGGGCTACTTTGCTCCCGGACACAATGCCTCCCTGTGGTTGACGGGTTGGTTCCCTGAGGCTATGGGCTCCGTGACTGGCGCTCCTACAAGCACCACCATCGGCAGCAACACTACTCAGATCTTGGACGTCATCGCAACATTGGACCCGTGGAGGAGAGAGGACCAGTGGAACTACACGACTGGCCTGGCGGGGAACCGGTCCACCGTTGTCTTTGTTGAGGATGCTTCTCACGCGCTGTTCCCTGAGAACTTGCAGGGCGTCGTGGATGTTATGGTGCCTTGGTTGGAGACCCAGACTTCATCTTGGAAATAGGTCCTTGCATCTTCAGAATCATTCTAGTCAATCAACTGAAAAAGGAATGCTCTCTTAAGTCCGGCCATAAAGGACCACAACTGTTGCTTCCCAAGAAAACTTGTTAGAGTGAGTTCCATCTCGAAGTTCAGACCTCCCAGTCGAACGGTGAAGTTTCGAGACATCGAACAGAGAGTACTGGGAAACAAACGAATGTGAAGATCATGTTCGTGGAAGTGCCAACCAACCTGAGTGAAGTCCCCAAGCTGCCCTTCGATATCCAATTATAGCGGGAAGCTGCCCGTTCCAGTTTCCGGCCCGGCCCCGGCCCCGGCCCCACCGGTTCTGGCAAAATATCCGGCACTTCCTCCGACATGTGGCTGGCGGAAGCAATAGGAAATTGGAGCCGAGCCAACCACAGAGCAGTCCACAAAATCCCAGAGTTCATCGAATCATCGTTCTGCAAACCCGCTCGCTGGAAGTAGACCACGCAACTGAGAGAAACGCCACACAATTCCTGGCCTTCTTCTCTATTCAACCGCGAGCAAATTTTCTGCCCAGTACCTAGACATCTAGAGAGATCGTGCTTCTTCTTAGACATGCGGGACCCCCATACTTTCAGTTCTCCCAATGTCTAAGTTGCGCCACGTGCTATGGCGCAGGGAGGAGTGCAATACGAACCCTCTATCATGGATCGAACACCCCTCACGCGTTAGGAGAACAGGATATCCATTTTCCCCGCTCGTTGGTCTCGCACAGTTGGAGAAATAACACCAACGGCCGGGATCCGGCAGGCATGTGGGGTGGTGCAGAAGCAAACGCACATCTGGGCCGCCCGTCTGCCAGGCATTCACATAACATGAAGTCCAGTCAGCACAAGTCAGTAGGTCAGAGCCATCCCACCTGCTCGCAAATCGAGCCCGAGTTTGCGTCCATCACATGACGCCTCAAATGCGTGTCCAGCCTCAGGTCGACCTCTGGGAGGTTAGACCGGCGCGGCTGGTTGGCTTGGGTACTTCTGTTCGCATGCACTGGTGTCACCGACTCTTGTGCTGTCTAATGCTGAGCTGAGATATGACAAAGACGGACGGCCGGTGTGCGCGGCGTGCGACGACTTTCCGAGGATCATTTGCTCTTCATAGGACGCGGAGCAAACGAACCCATCAGGTCGGATTGACAGTTGATCCTCGATCCCAAAGGCATCTCTGCGACCCATGACACGGTCCGCGCATCTGGGCGTTGAATCAATCTTGGGCACCGCGTAAGCGCTCAGCCCTACCCAGAGAGCCTGCATCGATTGCAATTTAAACCCAAGAAGCGAGGAAGGGCGAGCGAGAGACGTGACTTGACCGTCTTCCCTCATCTCTCTTCCCCTCACCCTTTACTCCAAAAAGGTAGAACCCTCACAGTCACGCTACTCGGTTTCGAAAACGAAAGCTCGCAGGCTAAATACCGCTTCCGGTATTTGCACCGCGTTCTGGGGTTGCAGCGCGTGTCCGGCACGCATGGCTTCATGTGATGGAGGGTGCGCCAAAATCAGACGAAAGAACGTCTGCGCCTCTGCTCCTCTAAAGGGCTTGCAGGCCCAGATCGGTAACCGCTTGTAGATGCAGATATCTCGCCCCAGTCTGCCGCAACGTCTCGGCGTTGGAAGTTCATAATAGCTGGCTACCTAAGGTGACACCATACCTACTTTTACAATTTTAGGCTCAGGCGCTTGCGTTGTTATTGTAACTGTTAAGTAGCTTCGCTCGCCTCTGTGCCGCCCCCGGTCCCTGGATCTACGGAGGGGCAATCAGGCTGAAAAGAACCCTGTACCGAGGTCGAAATGTACCCTGCGGCTCCCTGTTCTCCCACGTTGGTTGGCGGACAATCATGACAGATGTGTTTGGCATTGGTCGAGCCACGTCGACTCACCTGAAGGAGTTGCTGGTCCTGTGGACGAGCGGATGCAATCATGAGCTGCATTAGCTTGCTCGACATAGTGGATATTGGGCTCCGCTAGAAGCGCTAGTGCAGAGCGCTGATGAACAGTCCATGAAGCGAAATCTACTCGTTTTCGTTCTGCGGGTGCAACCGAGTCTAAGTCAGAAGAAACGATCGTGGTATGTTCAACTGCTAACGCGGCTCCTTTTGTTGACTGGTGGTATTCCTTTGGACCGGTGTTCAACCCCATTTATCAAAACATATGTTGCCTTCTTGAACGACCGTCTTGCCGCGAAGCTATCAAAACAAGGGTCCCGGAAAAGGTCATGAACTGGGGTCTCCCCAGACTTGTCCGTCTCCGTCTCCGTCCCCAAATCACCGGGCCGACTCTCGTACGAATGAAGTCGCTCCCATTCAGCCAAACACAAGGCCAAACTTCATGCTTGCCGCAACTTGCCTCCACAAGTCTGGACAGGCCTCAGAGCCCACTTGCTCCTTGCCGTATGCTCGCATGTCCATCCTTCTCCACACGTCCATGACAACAGCCCACGGCTTTTCCGTGTCAACCGCACCTTTCTTGCTGCCAAAGGCAGTGAACGCCTGACGCACCAAGCCTCGATCCCTGCTGCATATGGCATGACAAGCAGAGAAGAAGAGCGGCCACAGCATGGAGAGTCCTGCTCCGCCATGAGACACTGACGCCGCACAGTGCCACAGAGCGGCCTGACTGTGTTTCTGTACTAGGCGATGTGATGAAGGGTACTCCGAAACGTTGCTGTAGAGAAAGGCCAGGGCGCTCTGTCTGTATGCGAGTGCCGTGCTTGTGATCCACCGGATGTTGGCAAGCTCGACTTCTGATGCCGTTTCGGGGCCGTCGACTATACGGTTAACCAGGGAAAAGCCTGGTGGAAGTGTCGGACCCCACGACTCCAGGGCCTTTTCTATTGCCTTGTATGCCGTTTGGTATTCGGTACGCAGGACGGCGAACTTGGATGTTTGCCCCGTCGCCGTGGCGGCTTGAAGCTCGCGTTTCATCGCCATGAGCTCTGCGAGGTGGTGCAGAGTGGGCCAAAGATCATCGGCCATTCCCAACACTGGATCGATTCCACCAGAGACGATGGGTGGTGGCGGAGTATTTGGTGAGTAAGCTCGACTTGAGGGAGCTGTGAACACGGGAGACGTGCCGTTCGTCAAGGCATTGAGTACATCAAAGTAGCGAAACACCTGTCACATGTCAAAGAACCCTTCAACTAGACTTTCGCAACGCTAGGTAGCTTACCTGGTCGAAGAATAACACACTCGCAGGCTTGGGGGATGGCATGGCACAAATGATGTGGCGAGCTCCTTGAAGATGGTTATATACCACTTTGTCCGAGCTTCGCTGTAGAACCTACGCCACCAGTCAGTCGATACGTCAAGTTCAATCCGCTGTTTTGACTTCTCTTACCAGATCGTACTGAATGAGCAGAATGATCGTCGCCAGAGCTTCTTCGAACCCATCTCCATCCTCGATAATCGCAGACAGACCAGCCACGGCTCTTTCATGAAAACATGCAGATCCCTCCGTAGTCTCAAGACCGCTATATTCACGATGTGCGCTGGCCAACGCATAGATCGCACTTCGAACGGCGGAACTCCTATGCGAAAGGGGAAGTATATGTTGCCTAAAAGGGTTTGCGACACCATCTACGAACCCCATCGTCGGGAGCATAACCTTGGAGTAGTGATCTAACAAGCCGGTATTCTCTGGTAAATCGAAGATGTTACGACCGGTCGGCGGGAGCAGGTCCCGCAAGGGCGGGGATGCAGTTGACCAGGATTGCTCATTCCAAGATACGTCGAAACTGGCGCTGAAGAAGGGATCATCTGTTGGCTGCTGATAACTCTGGTCCAAAGTCGCAAGAGAGAGCGGGAGGTGGGCTTCAGCTGCTTTCTGACAACCCACATCCCCCATCAACTTGAACCCGTCCTCAAAATGTTGTGAGACATCATAACCGAAATCATAGCTGCCTGTGTCGTCGAGATCTTCGGATAATGCAAATGCCGAATCGATCGAAGTAGAATAACTGCTTTCTATGGCCGCAGTTGGGGACAAAGTTTCTTCTACGCCTAGTTGTAAGACATCGGGTGGAGTGACAATATTCGTATCTGGGCTTGTCTGGAAGTCTGTGTTGCCCGTCGGGCTACTTGAGTCGTCCGACGCCATAGAGTCTTGAGCGTCAACTGGCCGGATCGAAGTTCTTCTCTTCCTCTTCTTTATAGGCTCATAGACACAGACTATACCGGCCTGCACACAACGAAGACATTGTGGACGTTCTTCTGAGCACTTTTTTCTCTACAGAGGTATTGGTCAAAGATTCAAATCCAAGATGGGTCAAGATGACCAACCTTATCGCGACTAGAAAGCGTGGTTAGCACCTTGATTACCCTTCAAAATCACGACGTGAGGTGAAAGGGAAGCTCGGACATCAACTCACCAGTATTTGCACCCTGTCATAACAAATATGTCCATGTCAGATATTTTGGATCTGAGACTGTCGTGATAGAAGCATCGTACGAACCTGCTCTCGACCGAGTCTTGATCGGCCGTGGACGAATGGGTTGAGTGACGAGCATGGTGCTAGTAGAGCGAAAGCTCTGCGGAAGGATTCAAGGGATAACCTTGAGTACAGCAAGACGGAGGCTCAATAACCTTCCCGTCACACTGAAGTTGCATCGAATGCCGGTAATAGGTCGCAGCAGAAACTTGCAGCTGGAAAAGCAAGCGATAACAGACCATAATAACAGAGCAGCAGAGGCGATGGTATTTCAGCGAGCCACACCACAGGCAGACATGGTTCCCCAATTTACCCCAGCTCCATGAGGGGAAAACATGCGAGGAGCTACCAGGAGACTCTCGACAGATTTGGAGACGTGCCGCACGCCCATGACCAACGGCAAAATGCCGAATAACGCCGGGCTCACGCACCCACCATCATGACTACGACCGGGACCCTGGAGTGACCCCAGAAAACGTTGCGACCTAGAGGACTAGACTGTGCAGCCAGTAAATTAACCGGCCATTCTTCCAACACCCTGGTGATCGGTCCAACGTGGAGGAGTGAATTTTATGGGGTTCGATGAGCGTTTGTGGGGGAAGGTGGGAGCGGTTGGCTGTGAGGAGCCCCAGCGCACTTCGCGACATCTGACATGCAAGGGTCGAAAACACACCATCCCGGGCCCTCTTCGCCAGTCACGATGCGGCAGGTGGCTTCTTCGTCACTCCCATCATCCGATCGACCGTTGATTTTCATATGTACCTCGAGATATTTTGATGATCTTGGCTTTGCCACCGGACCCAAGCGCGTCGAGGATGGGTGGAGTACCAATGTGGTAACAGGGCGAGCCTTCAGGCTGCAACACCAATGGCCGATAGATAATAGGAGTTGGTATGCATGCGTTCTTATACAGCTTCGAAGCGAGACATCTAAAAAGTTGCTAAAAACTGGACAAATGAGTGACCCGATAGTTCTGGACTCGTCATATCCTAGAATTGGAGACTCTGAACAGTGTTGCCCCTATCGTGGAGTGATGTGATTCTTGTTGGTCATATCGGCGTGGCTGATGAGTCGGTGATGACGGCGGAGAATGGCTTGCCACAGTGCTCAGAAGCGGCATATAACATTCTTGATTGGCTCTCAAAATTTAGCATGGTGTAGATGGATCTCAACAGCCTGCGTAGTAAGCCAAGTCTCGGCTAAACCTACTTCCAAATATGCTGAGGCACAGAGGCTCACGCATCCAATTCGAAAACCGTTTGGAGTATTCACTTACGTACTAGGTGACAGTCTGACTTGAAGTATAAGTGAATGGCAAGCTTTAAGTAGAAAAAGCAATAAACCCCTGCATTGGCACTGTAGTTTTGTGCAAAGAAACAGGTGAGATACGAAACAGGGTTGTTGGGACTTGTCTCACGAATGATGAAAGCCTTGACAAAGATCTTTGAGTTCGATGAGGTAGCGTTTACAGAAAGTAAACTAAACTTTTCGAAAGAAAGCCCAGTTTAATTGATCAGTTCTCCCTAGATTTAAATCAGAGGGCAGACTAATTGCATGTCAGAAGATCGAGACCTACCAAGGAAACGGGCAGTCAGTGCTGCACGTGAAACTGACACATCACAAAGTCAACTAATTCGAGGGCAATAGTTACCTCCCAACTAAGGTAGTTATATCGATTTAGTAATAAGTTGAGTGAGACGATAAGCACCTTGAAAGTCGAGTCTCATATATAAGATGATGACATCATGACAAGAGACACACGAGCGGACTCATGCAAGACAATGATATCCCGAGTGTTCTCAACTGGGTCTAGATTGAACACAGAGTTGCGTGAATTCAAGGTGTTCTACTTCTGTATAAATAATACCTAGCCATGTGATGGACATCACAATCTTTCTGTCCCGTACTTATCCCATGCACTGTTCGTGAGGCATGTCTGGAAAGGCCTTGCAGAGGCTCTAACCTTACCCCGATGAAAGATGTATTCATTCCAGCCCTGAAAACCGTGAGTCTTTTGAATCTTATTGCAAGCGAATCGTCCTTTCCAATACATCGTTGTGGTATGTGCATAAGGCTCCAACTCTGGTGTTGAAGTCGTGAGAAAGGTGTGTTGATATGTGATAAAGCAGCATGATTGTTAATTGCAGTCGCGCTTTCATGAACAAACTGAGTTAGCTACGCTATGAATCGCACCTGAGCCTTGGCTATGAAAGCCCAGCAGATAGTTTATGATGTAGAGAACATGCGCTATAGACGCGAACTGCAATACACGGAACTGGGGAAATGAATGTAAACTGTAAACCCTGCTGTTCCTGTTGCGAGTATAAAAAGAGATAAGAATCATTGGGGCAGATGGAGGCAACAAGCTTATTTCCCAGTGAAACATTGCACCGAGCATGTCTATCTTTAGATGAAGAGCAATACCAAAACTCTTGAGTCCAACGCATATTAGGTATGAAGTGTCGATATGTCTCATAATGTGCGACCCGAGAGCACCTCCGGAAACATGGTCATACGCACCTTAGACCAGGACGACTTTGACTTGCAAGTTGCACCCCATCGCAATATGGTATGAGAATATTCTATGATCCAATCTAAGAGTCCTTGGCTCGTCACTCCAGTCAATTTTTAGCAACGATTTAGGTGCTCAGAACGGGCTCTTGAGAATCCTTGAAGTGTCTAAGATATTCTATTAAGACGCCAAAGTAAGTTAGATGCCGATGAAAACGCTCAAACTCAAATGTCTAAAGATGCTTGCTAAGTGACGTAAGAAATGTCGGCAATGGTGAGCCAGGTCCCTTTATCTTGAATGAAACTAGGAGCGACCAATGTTAATCAGAATGACGATTAAGCTGAAGGTGCTGGTGGTATGCTTCCAATCTATTGTCGGCCGATAGAGATCAAAAGTCTATTCGGCGTTAGGAACCGAGGCCGGCGCCGTGACACCTTCTTCGTCTCTCTTGGTGATTCCCTCCTTCTTCTTGTCTCGCTTGTACAAAAAGGCCACCGTAGCAGTGATCAGTGCTTGGGCACCGAAAGCAACAGTCGAGAAAATGAAGCCCTTCTTGAATTTGGGCGAATCAACTTGAGGGTACGTCAGGATCGGGACCCAGGCATTGAAGGCATAGCCCAGCGAGTTCATGATTCCTATGACAATGGCACGCTCCTCGGCATCGGCGCCGCAAATCTCGTTCGTCCAGCTCATGCTGAGTGGTCCGTACGGTACGGAAGCGCGCTGGAGAAGGAACGCAAACCACTTCAACCCGTCTGGTACATTCCAGATGGCGAGGATCAAGGCAGCGAAACCACCGAGGAAGGTGGATACCGACATGACGCTGGCACGATGGCGGATCGCGTCGGAGAGGATGGCGAATGATACCGTAAGGACCAGTTGAATAGCTGAAGCCGCTGTTGGAATGATATTCTGATACCCATGTTAGCTACATGATACCATAGACCAACCATGAGCAAAGTCAACTTACAATCTTCTCCACAGACTCGCCCTTGGATTTGAGCCAGAGAGAGAAGGGATTCACACTGCTGGAAGGCCCAATGTTGATGAAGATGATGTACAGAATAGTCAGGAAGTAGACGTGCCAGCGACCAAAAATACGCTTGAATGCAGACCGGCCCAATTTGGTTCGCGGAGCACGTCCGACACTCTCCATCCGCCTGCGGGCCAGTTCACGGTCCTAGGTGATTGTTAGTGACTGCGGTTTCTCAAAATTAGTGAAGTTGGTTTCACTCACATTCTCAGTCAAGTAGAACGCTCGTGTATTCTCCGGGAGATCGGGCAGGAAGAAGTATCCAGCAATGCAAATTGGCAGACTGATGATCCCATCCATGATCTGTAAGTCGGAGGCCGAGTCAGCACGCGGTCTCGCAGGAGTCGTCTCCACCAAAGCACGCCATATGGGATCGAGGGGGTGCTTACAAATAGCCACTTCCAACCTGCTAGCCCATGGACGCCATTGAGTCCCTTATAGACGCCAGCTTGCAAATAGCCCGAGAACATGCTCGCCGCAGCCGAAGAGGCGTGGAAGATGCAGGCTCGCTTGCCGAGCTCGGAGGGCTTATACCAGGAGCCCAGGATCGTGTGAGCGGCCGGGTAAAAGATTGACTCTGCTAAACCCACGAAGAAGCGGATTGCAATGACGTGGTTTGAGGTCTTTGCTGCCGCCAGACAGAACGTTAGAACTGTCCAGAGAAGCTCACAGGAAGGCACCCAGATGGACGGGCGGACTTTTGTGAGAACGATCTGCGAGGGGATCTGGCCCACGACGTAGCCGACGGTCCACGCTGTGTCGATGAGATTGATCTCGTTTCCGTTCATTGCGAGATCCTCCTTCATGCCGCTGACGAAAGCATTGCTGATGTTCGTCTGGTCGAGGTTTTTGATAAAGTAGCCGAAGCTCAGCATCGTTATTAAGAAGACGTCGAGCTTCTGGATGAATACGCGCTCTTCCTGCGACCGGCCCGGTTCGTAGTCCCAGATATAAGACCACCATGGCGCTTTCTTCTTCTCAAGTACCGCAGAGTTTTGTCCGTCTGAAGAAAACTCGTCCACCGTTACTCCCTTGGGAGACGCGGACGCGTATTCCTGCTCTGACCCCATGCCGAGCAGAGGTGAGAGCTCTAGTGAATCCGTAGAGTTAGTAACTTACAACGGAAAGACGAAGAGGAGCTCAACAGAGGGTGAATTGAACAGTCGCAACTTTCAAAACCACAACGTCTTCAAATTTTGGGGGATCCCGTACCTGATTTATGTATCTCGCTTCCTGATAAACTGGCCATCGCGCTACGCTAAGGGAGGTTTCAAGTTGGCCACAATCTCACGGATACTGGAGAACTGCCCAGATAACACTCCGGGAGTCGTGTGGGTTACAACGGGGTTCGATGCTTGATGATGTGCTGCGAAGCGCTGATGATTCGCTACCCCTTGGCGTGGGGTGTGTCGCCATCGCGGGGTCCAGTGTCGTGATTCGGCCGTCGCTGCCTCAAAAGCGCCCTCAACGCCGTCCATCTTCTCTGTCCAAGGTGTCTTAGCATCGGACTCTTTCCGACTAGAGTCTTATTATTGCCAGGGAGACAATGTAGGTGTCAATCTCATTACTTTCTTTATTCGATCCCGCGGAGCACTGCCGATACGGAACATTATTCCCGGCAGTTAGCTACTAGTGACGGATGGCTCCGTTGGACATTGTCGCATTGCAATTTCGTTACAAAGAAGAGCGAGATG